AAAACTGTCTTTCATTTACAGAAGACAAGTGTCTTCGATGTAATGATGGCTTTGTATTTGAAGGTAACAATTGTGTTGATATCACGGAAGATAATGGAAATTGCCAGATAAAGGTAAGCGTTCCATCGGAGTGCAGATTGTGTGATTTAACAAACACGACATTAATCACCACTAATGGAGTTTGCAGTGTTGTAGACAGCAATGTTGCTGTTCACAGTCTCTCAAATGTTGTTGAATGCAAAGATGGGTATTATGTACAAAACAACATGTGTAACAATTGTACAACCGACAATGAAGGAAGTTTGTTATGTTCATTTAAAACCACTGAGAAGTGTGATAAGACGTATTATGTGAAAGAAGATGGCAGTGTTTGTGTCAAAAATGTGTGTTCAGAAGGAATAAATAACGAAGAAAATGGGAAGTGTGCACCACAAATAGACAACTGTGTAAAGTATGTGAATGGCAAGTGTGTCGAATGTTCTTTGGATTACTCATATGATGGCAATATGAGTTGTGTTGAGCCATCAACAGTTGATGTGAACTGTAAAACGGCAACTCCGAGTGGGTGTATCAGATGTGATGGAAATACCTTCTTAAATGTAATGACACACAAATGTGAGGCGTGCAACTCAACTTGTGAAAGTTGTTTGGATTTGACAATGTGCCTATCATGTGTAGATGGTTTCTTTTTGAGTGACCACATCTGCAAATCCAATGACGCGTTGAATGACACTTGTGCACGAAAAGTACCAAATGGGAACGGCTGTTTGGTTTGCAAAGTTGGGTATTATAAGAAGGGAGCAGATTGTGTGCTGTGTGATGTCAAGTGTGGTGAGTGTATGACAGAGAACTCGTGTATTAAATGTAATGCAACAAACTACAAAACGAGTAATGGCGATTGTCTTCCGCGCTCTTCGATAACGACGTGTGCAGTTGAAGTGACTGAAAGTGGCTGTTCGACGTGTAAAAACGGGTATTACACAGTCAATGGAAATGAGTGTCAGAAGTGTGTTGAAGGGTGTGCAAAGTGTTCAGAACAATATCAGTGCACATCATGTGATGACACATATGTGCTCAAAAACACCAGTTGTGTGAGTTATGCCAACATCACAAAGTGCACAAAAACAAAAGACTCAAAATGTTCATCATGTACATTTTGGTATTCACCAAGTGACGATGGCACATTTTGTTCAAAGAAGGCAGTGTGGTGGGTGATACTTCTAATAATTGTTATTGTCATTTCAATTCCTGTGTTGGTCATAGTGTTGGTCTTATTTGTTATGGTTAAAGTCATAAAGCACAAAAGAGATTCCAAAAAAATCACACTCTTTAAATTGGAGCACACCAACATGAAATTTGTCGAAATGGCAGATGGTTTGATAATTCACACCAAAAACGAAGACTTTTTGATCACCGACGATGACTGTGACGAAAACGAAATTGATGTTAACAAACAAATCAAGAATCTGTTTTCTATTGGAAACACAACAAACTATAAAGTCAAGATTCAGTTCACTTCTAAAACAAATGAGAAGTACTATATTTCATTTAACCCACAGATAATTACAATTCCTCCAAATTATGGGTGCGAGTTCAGTCTTTTTTTGACGCCACTGTGCAACTCGACTATGGAAAGCAGTTTTGTGATCAATTATTTTATCTTTGCAAATGACTCCAAAACCATGTATACATCACGATGGACTTTAAGGGTACCGAGCT